GAGGTCTCACGAGGGCAGAGTAGAGGGGAAAAATCACCTCCCTCGACCTGCTGGCCACGCTCCTCTTGATGCAGCCCAGGATGCGGTTGGCCTTCTGGGCCGCAAGAGCACATTGCCGGCTCATATTGAGCTTCTCGTCCACCAGCACTCCCAAGTCCTTCTCCTCAGGGCTGCTCTCGATCCATTCTCCGCCCAGTCTGTATTTGTGCCTGGGATTGCCATGACCCAGATGTAGGACCTTGCACTTGGCCTGGTTAAACTTCATGAGGTTGGTACGGGCCCACCTCTCCAGCCTGTCGAGGTCCCTCTGGATGGCATCCCTCCCTTCCAGCGTGTCGACGGCACCACACAGCTTGGTGTCATCGGCGAACTTGCTGTGTCTGTGCAAGCTCAGAGAGCGGAACAGCTGACACCAAATCAGCTAAGAGGTCAGTTCCCACAATTTCCCAGAGCTCTTTAAGCCCAGTTCAGTAACATGCATGGTCCCGGTCTTGCATCAGTACACCGCAACCAAAGAGCACCATGCAGGACAGGATTAAGACATGACTGAACTAGTCAATTAAGGACCTGCACAGGCTTGACAGATGCATACTTTCTTCCCAGAAACATGAAGGCAGGTTTGGAATACTATGTTTTCCAGCAATTCAGGCTATATTAATAGGTATTAATTTCTCTGGGTAGCTGTTACCAACCGTAGAAGAGCATCCAGGTTCAGAGGACTTAAGTGAACAAGCAGCTTGATCTCAGACACCCATTAAGACCACCATTAAGTTGATAACTTACAAAACATCTCAAAAGAGAAAGGCTGGTAAGTCTTGTCCAGCCCCAACCGTGCTGCCAGACTGCAGCAAAACGGGCCAAGGGCCCAGCACAGCTTACAGCTACTCCCACTCCCCAGAGTCCTTCAGTCACTACAGCTCACCCTACTTTGGCCTCCAAGATAGGCATAACGAATTTAGTGACTTTGGCAAAACGCCTCGAAAATGAAAGCCATAATCCTGTGACTCATCCACATCTACAGCTTTGGATTTTTCCACTCTGCAGGAGCGATTCCCCTAAGACTGTAAAAAGCATCGGTGTTTGTGTCACCTGGACCCCGGCTCTTCAGTTCTCTTCCCCAGTTCACAAAATCACAGAATGTCAGGGATTGGAAGGGACCTCAAAGGATCATCTAGTCCAACCCCCCTGCCGGAGCAGTTGGGCAGGTTGTTCTCTCCCTCTTCTTTCAGATGGCTTTTCTACACCCGCTTTCTGCACAGATGGACCCAACCCATAAATAAAAGAGCGGATTGCTCTTACGGCGACTCATCCTAGGCCAAAGCTGCCAGCTGGGAACAAGCACTTTGTTCTTTGTCCCTCACTACGCAGGTCCCATCTTGGTCCTGGCCGTTCCCACGTGCTCCTTCTGAGCAGGAACAGCAGTTTATGACAAGCCATTGCTTTTGGTCACAATATTTTTCCATTAGGAGGTTGAATCTTCTAGTTACTGCTCAGCAGAGCAGACGCAAGGCAGAGTGGGGAACCTCTCCCTGCAGGCTGTCACCTCTCCTGAGGGGCTGGTCCCAGCAGGGGCCCGAAAACATGCTGCCAGCATCTGCAGGAGGGCTTTGGAGCTGATGATTTCAGGGGCTGGCACGGGACACCACTGCTGCTGCTGTTCTCAGATGCCCAGGGAGCGGCTGCTGATCACAATGTCTGGCAGAAGGCCAGCAGCAAACAGCTTCCCAGGGATGAGAATCTGGAGTAAACTGTAGCTTGGTAAGTACACACACCACTACCTGTCACACGGGATGGCGATACAGGTATTCGGGCAGCTTTGAGATAGTTTTTTATTCAAAAAACAAACCTGTACTTATCCTGTACTTTCTGCTTTATGTCTTGCAGCGAATCTTGGGATATATCTCGCTCAAGGTACCCAGAAAGCACCTCTGTAGCATTCTCTAAGTCTGCTTGGTTATTCTGCAAAGATAAAAAAAACACAAAGCAAAACATAAAAAGGAGTATTTGAGGGACGAAATATTTTTTCTTCAATCCAGCTGAAATCAGTACTGAAATAAAAATATATATGCTGTATAACACTCTAGTAGCCTGCTCTGAGCATCAAAATGAAACAAGTTGAAATTCCTTCATTTTTTCAGAAGAGAATCTGTGTATCCACCAGCAAGTCTTATGCCTTCCTTGATCTGCAATATCCTGCCAAGTCTAAAAAAAAAAAATAATCCTTTCCTTACCAAACAATTCACATCCCATTCCGTCTTGTCTATTTATGTTTTACCAGTGTTGGCAAAGCCTCCTCTGACTCCTGGTACAGGCACAGCAGCAGCAGAGCACAGGCTTCCAGCGCTCGGTAGTTCTGCGTGCCCTTTGCTGAGCGTGCAGAACAGTCGCACCCTGCTTAGGTTCTGCACAAAGATCAGCCAAGGACCAGTTTAAATCATAAATGCAGTTTCACCCACGAAGCAGACTGGACCTCCATGTTTAGACCTTCCAGCGCAATTTTTCTGGTAGTGCTCTTGGAAAAAAGCCAACACCAGGGAAAGGCAAAACGCCAGAGTTAGTGCCTTCTTTGCCAGTTCAAAGCTTAAGACACAACTTCAAACCTGCTCCAGCAGAGGAGGTGGAGCATGGTACCCAGCATGGCCTCTAACTTTTGCACAACCGAACATTAAGACAGACTCACTTCTGTACCACTGGGGACAACAGCTTCTCCAAGCATTAAATCCCTATTTTCCTTAGCTCTGCAATCTGAACTCCTGACAACTCTGTTTTCTCCTACCTCAAAGATAATGGACTGATTATTCTTTTTGAGGTAGAAGGCAAAGACGTAAGTGTACATGAGTGTGGCACGACACTGGCAGAGGACGTCGACTGCTTTCTTCAGGAACTGCACCTCGATCCACGACATGTTGTGCTGCTGCATCTCCTCCATTTTCTGCTTCACCTGGGCGTAGAGCTTGTGCTCAAAGCGCAGGCTCTGCATGTGGTTCATGTAGCGGTTGCAGTAGAACAGGTACCTCTGCAGGGCTGCTCTGGATCGCTGTGTTAATTCCCATTAGGGAGAAAGAAAACAAATAGTTAAAACAGAGTAAAGGCTGTGAGAGACGTAAACCCTTCACAAGGCTCTTCCTGACTCTGAGAACGAGCTTCCTTTCCAGAGCTGTTTCCTCTCCTCTCATCTTGGCCAAAGTTGGCTGGCGCCGCTTTGCATGGCACCGTTAACCCTGCCGTTGTGCGGGGGTGAGAGCCAGACCCACTGCAGCTCACTGTCATGGCAGGGACTTCCTACCTCAGCTGTGGCACCCTCACTCCCAACCCTGACAGGCATTAGAATCACATTGCTAAGGCCTGATTAGTTTCAAATTGTGTCATTACAAACAATTAGAAGCAGATTTTTTTTTTTTTTAATATTTTTTTTTTCCAGCTAATACAAAATTGTAATTAAACAATTTATGTGCTTGTGTTAAGAGGGCAACCCTAGGTTGCCTAGGCCGTGCTGATTATAGAGCAGGGGAAAGATGCCATGTGCAATGTAGTACAAAAAACCTAAGATGACTCAATACACAGCCATTAATCTCATTTTCTTCTCACTGACACATCAGCTGTAAAAAAAAAAAAATTACAACATGGTCACGCTTAAATTTGTATGTGGTGGTTGTACAAAAGTAGCATGTGTCAGTCAAAGTCATCCCTACCTGCAGGAGCGGGGGCTGCCGGAAATATTCTGGGTTTTGGCTACAATGGTACTTTGACAGAGATGCAGGAAATGGTTTTCTGCGAGCCGCAGCACACGGCATGCAATCCCTCTCCATTAAAAAGGCTTTTGGCTCTATCCATACACGCACTTAACATAGCTGCAACTTCAGCCACAATTTCTTTTATGTCAAGCCTCCAAGTATAGTTCTTGGAAGGAGAGCAGTCTATTCTATTTACATTCAAAAGGTCTGCTGTGTTTAAGCACCGCAGGATTCGCACTAAGGAATCTGCAGAAAAGAGCATTTTAGGAAGGATTGAGGACTGTTGTCTCAGACCCACAGGATTACGACGACTTCATGTGAAGAGCTGCTGTAACACAGCCCAGGGCAGCATGACAGATAACAACTGAGTTAACACGCTCTTTAAATTGGGTTAAAGTGACTTTGAACGGTTTTTTTATCGGGCATGAGGCAACACTCCAAAGCTGCCAGGCAATGTAACTGTCTTCTGGATTTGTGCCCAAATTCAGGAAACACTTCAGAGCTCATTTACAGGTTTATAGAAAGCCTGAAAGCACATCACAGGGTAGGTGACCCCCCTTTTATCACCGAAGGTTATGGACTCACCTCCTGTGCATCCCTTGCTGCCTTTGCATCATCCTCGTTGTAGCGATTACAGTTGTACCTGTAACAGGGACACCAATTTCATAGATTTCAGTCCGAAACGACGCACCTCGCACCATGGCCTCCTTGCCTTCCAGCAAGGCACGCTCCTGAACTCACCAGGCAGATCCGTGGGGCTCCCAGGGGCCCAGACACACCCAGCAGAACTCCGCTTTGCAGTTCTGGTTCCGACAGACCATGTGGTTGCAGCCCCCGTCCTTCTCGATGGTGACGTGGCATTTCGGGCATTCCTGTTCACAGAGAGCACCGTTAGCAGGGAAAGCACAGAACCCACGGAACCCACGACAGTCTTGGGAACCAGAAAGGCTCCCGTGGCAGTCAGAGATCGCACGTCAAGTGAAATGAGTGATTTGCTTCTTCCCTTTCATCATCGAGATCCTCTTCCGAGTCAGGAGCAGCTAGATAGCAAAAGAACCCCTAAAGAATAACACATTTTATCTCTGCTACTATCATAGTGGGACACCGGATGGGTAATTTCACGACCTTCTCCAAAATCTCAGCAGCAGGGATGGTCTATAACTGCTCTGGGGAAGGCATCTCGCTTGCCTCACCATCAAGCGTTTGGTCTCCTTCAGCACTCAGAACTGACAAACGCCCAACGGTGAGCTGGTATCACGCTGTTATCAATCCCAGACACCTGCAGTTGTAAAACGCCATCCAAAAAGCAGCTGAAAACATGCAGTAAGACTCTATCGTGCTTCAAACAAAAAAGCTTCTGTCAGCTAAAAAGACACTTCTCCTCCTGGGGCATTTCCACGTTTCCTATCAGGCCCCTTTTTTTATTTTCCCCTTCATGTGACACCTCAGCTGAAGACTTTTCTACAAAAGCCCACATGGGGCTTCCCTTTCAGGTGTGAGGCCTTTGACAAATACGAGGATATTGAAGAGCAGCACTGCACAGGGAAAATCTTTAGGGAATAGGGTTTTTTTTAATAACACCAACATCATTCTCGTACATCGCCAGCATCTAGCCACGTCTTCAAACGACGTTCAACTCATGTAGAGCAGAAGAGCTGATTTCTGTAGTACCCCAATGAGTACACAAAGTTGTAGGACTATACTAAGCAGTCCCTACGAGCGGAGAAAGCCAGTCCAACTCCCTTCTGCTGCTTGTTGCTGTCCCTGTGGCAGTTGTCTCGTGCTGGGACACAAAGCAGCTGCAAAAGAGCTGGGTGAAAAACAAACCACAAACAACGAAACAAAAATAAAACCCAAAAGTATTTTAGCCTGGATGAATTCCTCCACAGCTACGCCAGCGCTTACAAAGTTTTGCAAAAGCCAGTTTTATCTTCCAAGGCAATATATATAATAAACATTATTGAAATGAGTAATCCACACTCGTGTAAAACCAGCTGCAGCTTTTGGGTCAGAAGTGTGCAAAATCCCGTCCCCAGTTTGGAGCACACCTGTTTCCTAACCAGAGGAGACATCGAGAGCACCGTTTCCTATTCCAGCATTCAGATAAACACTCAACAATGGAAGAAACCAACTCATACAATCAGTCTAGAACTGCTACTTCTTGCACATCCACAACTGTCACTACGTTTTCATACGAGTTTGCCTATTTGTCCTGTAAAACCAGGAGAATTTGCACACTGAGGAGTACTCAGAAGATAACTCAGGAGGTGCGACGGACCACTGTGGTCTCCAGATGTCAGACGTGGCCCTTCCCGCTGCAGGGAGGGAGGTTTGCCGCAAGGTAAAGCAGGTTACAAGGGAAAAAGACATGAGACACATTAACTTCTTTTTGGCCAAAATAATTCAAGTGCCTTCAGCTGGTTTTGCTTCCTGATGATTGCAAGTTTGCAGACTTGAGCACTGATGACAAATAAGGCTCCTTACAGCAGCTTGCCCCTAACTTTGAGGTTATCCTTGCTTCAAGCTGGAAGCTGAACTTGATGACACTCCCTTCCGACCTAAACCATTTCGTTATTTTGATCTCCCCAGCAACGGCAGAGTGCTCCACTTGAGCGCTGCCATCATTTCGTCCTCTTCAAAATCCTGTTTTGGTTCTACTGCCTGATCCTGAAGAGGAAGAGTTAAGGACTGAGGAGAAAACAGGTGACATCCCACACAACCAGCAAGGTTTTCCTATAAAAGGAGTTGCTATTAGAGCCCTCCTCTTCAGTCAAGAAGGGCAGCATTCCCATCCCATCAACAGGCCACAACCCCAGGGCTTGGCCTGAGTAAGATGCCAAAGCTCAGTTTCCAGCCAGAAGATCAGGTTTGTTGTGCAGTTGATAAGATCCCCCAGATTTGAGGAACTACTCAGGTAGTTTGATGGATGTTTCTTTCTGCAGTCACACCTCTCAGTCCATCCTCGTGCTCTGTCAGTACACTGCACACTAGCTGGCCGCTTACTTGTTTTGGTTCAGGTTTTTTTAGGGGCTGGTTGTCACTCCGATGGGTTCAAGCAGCAAGCAGGCACACAAAGGGACTTTTCCAGCTCTGGTTTCCTCCCCATCGCCTGTGTTTGTCCTACAACCAGAGTACCTGCACTACAAACAGAGTAAAAGAAGCAGAGTAGCTCCCTTGCAGCCCCTCTCACACCAACCAGAAGGAACAACATCAAGATGTTCTGCTGGGCTGTCCATAGGATGGGTACGCAGCCCGGTAAGCTCGTTCCCAACTAATCAACGCAATTCTTGAACTTCAGAGGCACAAACGGTCTCTCCTTTGAGCACAATACAGTATCCATTTTCCTCTTCCAGGCAGCCCTCCTCCCTCTTCCAATCCTGCACCAACACCTCAGGACCCAAACTTAGGTTTATCCCATCGATGCCCTTCACAGCTGTGAAGATCCCAGCTCGTTGGCTCGTCAGCCAGGGCGCGTTTTGCTGTTATGTACCAACAGCAGCACTGCGCCCCCGTCACATCGTGACACAGCTCTCCCGTCACTCGGACACCGATCCCGGGGCACGCGGCAGTGGATGGTCTTTCAAGAGAAGACGGCGGTCGCGGAGTTGCGTGGTTTCCTCTGGACACATCTCGTCTGACGAGATGCCGACATCCACGTGCCTCGGTGGAAGATGCGGCTAATCCGACCACCAGCTGCAGCGATCGCTCCTGCTTAGGGAAAAATCCTACAACTAGAAGAAGAAAGCAGTTCCCAGATGACCTGCCGAGCTGGAGAGGTGCAGGGAGGCACGTCCACAACCACGAGGATGTGGGGCCATCCTCATCCGCACCTCGGCTCAATCAGGAGCGCTGAAATTCCGCTCTCCTCTCCAACGACAAGATCAAGCTCTTGGGTGTCTCGATACCGTGCCGGCGCTTGGGGCTTCTAGCCCTGCGATGCAAAATTAAACCAAAAAGACCCTAATTACAGCTCTTTGATTACAGGGAACGCCATCTTTTCCAAGCCTTTGTACGCCTGTCAAGCAAAGCACAAGGAAGATGGATTACACAGCAAGCTACGCAGATGCGTGAAACTGTGTGAAATTTGAATATTATTACCAAAAATTAAGGAAAAGCCACGAGAAGAACACGCGGAAGAAACGCTGAACACCAGCGGAAAGAAAAAAAGCAGCAACTACTCAAGCCACCAACGCAACGAGTGGGAGAGATTTATAGATTAAGGAGGATAGGGAAGGAAGATCTTCTTGGGAATTACGGCTACGCAACAACATAATAGCCAGCAAAGCAAATTACTAAACCGGTAGATTATTCCGCACGTTTTCTGTCACGCCGTGATGCAGAAATGACCTCATTAACATTGTTCCACTCTAAACAATTCGGGGTTGTGCTTACACGCTGCACTTCCAAACAAAAGCCTGGGCAAACCTGGAAAAGGAGAACAATCCCTATTTTGTCATCAAAAAGCTGCATGTACATGAAATACCATAAACCTCAGCTGCTGTTCCATGAATGGGAGGCTGATTGGAAACATATTTCCTATATTTCAGGGCAGGTGAAACCAATTAGTCCTCTCCGGGATGCCCAGAGGCAACTGGTGTACATCAGCCTCCCAGCCACGTTCCCAGCGATGCCTTCACCTATAACCTGTCCTAAAAAAAAATAAATCAAATAAATCCTGAAACACCACGGGGATTTCTTAATGCGTTTGAACAAAATCTGAAACCTCTGAACTTCATTATGGTTGGTGCAAAACAGTACACCGGGACAACACCCAGAGCCCTCGAGCAAAGCAGGATATTTAAAATATCCTTTTTATTGCTGATCCGAGAGGAAAAGATGGTACTTTGACATCTCCAGAAAGATGCCATTCACAGTTTTGGCCCAAAACTGTGCTGGTGAGAACTGAAAGAGCGAAGTTCAATGCTGGTGCCCGGGGAGGATCCAGCGGGCTGCCAGAATTTCCACGCGTTAGAACAAGTGTAGGACTTCCAGAAAGTACAGCGGGAACGCATGTCCAGACGTTAAAAAGTGACCTGAAAAGGGAAAGAACTGGGTTCGTGCCATTTTATCTCGCTTGGAGGAGAAAAAAAATGGCCAATAGCCTTTTTGGAGGAAGAAAATCTGCCTGTTTTATACATCAGACGTTCAAGTCCTGTCTAGCCCAGAAGATAATGAGATGGTGACATGCCAGGAGCCAAAAGCGGTGAGGCAGGGGCACTTTTAGCATCAGATAAAACAACTTTCATTAACACCAACTCAATTTCCAACAAAAAAACAGTGCCTTGGGTGAAGACCAGCACCATCTTTGTGCCTCTTCCTTTCATATTCCAAGATGCAGAAAGATTATCATCACTGAAAGTCAGGTTTGAAAGAGGTTTGCCCCCCTCCTTTTAGGCAGTCTTGATACACCCTTAAGAGCTCAAAATAAACGCACAAATCCAAGTTTTCTACATTTCTCACTCCTTGGAAGGTCCACTTAACACAAGTGCCTGATCTATGTGGGTTTTTTATTCCCAAAGCCACACGAACCAAACAATACCCGAAACCTGCCTAGTTTACTCAAGACAGGAAGTATTCAAGAACCAAATTTGTACAACTGAGAAACAAAGCAACATGCAACATCTTGGACTATCTCTTTGCAAGCAGACTGAAAATTAAAAGCTTGATAAAGAACTTGCATTGGCTTATCTCAAATTTAAATTAATTTAGTTTAAAGTAGCTTATTTTAAGGAAAAGGCCACCTACTTCAGCACACCCAGCACACCCTCAGCTGCATCTTTTGTAGAAGGAATTCAGTACAGGTCTCCTAAGTGCAAATAAATGAATGCAAAAAAAAAGAAAAAAAACCAGGAGACCACAAAACTGGCTATTCAAATCTCCTTGTTTTTCATTCAGACCATTCTACATAATTCGTCCAAAAACGCATCACATCACTCCAGTTTGTGAACAGAAACCAATTCAGCTGGGTTTCACTTTTCCATTCTCTGATACAACAATTGCCTAATTTTCCTTTCCTATTCTGTCTCCCAGGGCAAGCTGGAACAAATGTATCTCACATTCTCCTGCTGCAAAGGATTAACCAGATTTCAAGCCCACATTCCAGGAGGACTGGTATTTTCCTCTTATACCTTCATCTTGGTAAGACAGGAATTTTTCTTCCTTGAATGAGGACCACATGGGACAGGACTAGCTCAGCATCATGCCTGGAGGACTCCAGAAAGCACTTTCCAAAAACTAGAAATAGCAATGCAGACCATAGTAGCAATTAAATTACTCGGAGAGTTTTTCCCACTGAAAACAGGGATTTTTGCATCTGATGGTACCTGATCTGAGCTCCCTTCTAGGTTCTTCAAACTGAAGAAATTCGACACAGAATTTGGGCTTTCACCTGCAGTTGCTGAAACAAACAGCTGTGAAGGCACAAGACATCCCTCCCCAAACACGACTGCCCCATTCTCCTGCTAGAAATAGGGCAGAGAGAGAGTAAGGACAGATATACTGCATTTAGCTCCGGGGCCCCCAACACAAGAAGGACATGGAGCTGTTGGAGCGAGTCCAGAGGAGGCCACGAAGATGATCCGAGGGCTGGAGCACCTCTGCTATGGAGACAGGCTGAGAGAGTTGGGGCTGTTCAGCCTGGAGAAGAGAAGGCTCCAGGGAGACCTTCCAGCACCTTCCAGTACTTAAAGGGGCTACAAGAAAGCTGGAGAGGGGCTTTGGATAAGAGTATGTAGTGACAGGACACGGAGCAATGGCTTTAAACTGAAAGAGGGGAGATTTCCATTAGAT